TATCCCTACACAAATCAGTTGAAATCTGCTTCTTTCTAATTTTTTACACAGATTGGTCCAAATTTTGGTTAACTTTGGGATACTATAATATCCTTCTGCTTCTTAGCTTCTTCGCTTCTTCATCATCATTCTCTTCCTTCCTCTCTGTCTCTTTCTTACTATCCTACCATCTAACATCTTTCAAATCAAATCAGATTATCTTTAATTGAATCTCAATATAAAATAGAATAATAGAGCCTGTTGCATGAATACTTAACTTAGTATCCACACAGACTACAAATATCACTGCCAATTTGTGTCATTTACCATACAACAACCTTCTAGAAAACAACCATTATTTACAGGGGAAATTTTTATACCTTGTTTAGTAAAACCTGCCAACTGCAAATATTGATGATTTTGAATAAAAATAAAATTTTATTTTTGGCCAATTAGTGCATCCGCCGCCACGAAAAAGTGGAAATTTCATAAAAAAATAAAAGTTTTTCTTTATTTTTATTACGCCTTCCATTGCTTTAAAATCTCTAAAGATAATATATATATATTTCTTCTTAATTATATAAATTTTAAGCATTTAACCATCCTATTTTTACACCAATAAATTTTTTATTTTCTCCTCCGTCTGGATGATTTTGGCAAAACTATTTTTATTCCACCCTGCTCCGATAATCTGTAAAAAAATAATCCACTGCAAGTAACGTCCCTTGTGGTATCCCCTCCTGTAAGATTTACCGATTCAATTCGAATGCATTGGAGAAGTCATAATCAAATTACATCCAGTATGCTGACCAGATTAATTGGATTAACTGCATGTTTAGTTTATTAATATTTTGTTAACTAATGCTACATTCATTAGAACTTGTGAAAACTGACTTCAGTACACAAGTAGAGTGCATTCATTTGACGAATGCTAAAATGGCTGCTGTCACTTTTGCAATGTGTTCGGAAGCACTCACATATTGAAAATGTATGATTATAAACCTCTAATGGTCGGAAATGGCACTCTCAGACTTAACTTTATTAATATAATTCCCTTTTTTTCCATTTCTTTTATAATTTTGAAAAAAAAATAAGGGGTTGGCCAGGCAGACTGGGGCACCCTTGAATACACCAAATTTGAAATCAGCACATTATAATCAATAATTACTGCTTTAAAATCCGAATATTATTGAGTGGCCAGCTTGCCGTTTTATTTTTCAAAGATTTTAAGTTGGAAATTAGTCTAGAGGGCACTCAGAGATTGCATGTTTCCGCCCACATCATAATTCTCCTCAGTATAAATTTCCCCCACATATTGTCCCCATTTAAAAAATAATGAAAAAAAAAAACAATCACATATATCACTTTGAAATTAATGGTCTTATGTTTACACTTTACCGGCAAGCCCGTATTAGCACACATCACACGCATCTATACGGCAAACAGTTATAAAAGGTTTTTGATCATTGTGTCTGACCCTGACCCTTCAAAATTTAGTCACTTCCAGATCTTTGGTAGAGAAACATTGTGGCTAAGTTTGACAAATTTTTGATGAAAACCTGTTACACAAAATTGGTTTTTTGTTGATTGTGACCTTGACCCTTAACCCTTACCCTTCAAACTTCAAATGCTTTGAGATCTTTGGTCATGGAATATTGTGATCAAGTTTGACAAGTTTGTGATTAAAACTAGACAAATAAATTAAAAAATAGTTTTTCGTTTGTGACCTTGATCTTTGACCCTGACCTTTCAAAATTTAATCAGCTCTAGATCTTAGGTAAAGTAACACTGTGGCCAAGTTTGATGAATTTCTGATAAGAAATATGGGTTGTAGGCTGTTCACAACAAATATGCCGAGAGACAAATAAACAGCTGAATAAAAAACCAGGCGAAAACATAACCTCCTGCCAACTTCGTTGGCGGAGGTAATTATAATTTTTAGGTCTATTTATGAATGGGCCCCTAATGGTCCTGAGCCCCAGTGCTTTGCACTGGCTGTAGCTATGCTACTGGCTCTGAGTTTTAAAAATTCTATACAGTATATCTTCAGTCTTTGCCTGGGCGGATGCAGGGGGATGGGGGTGCAGAAAAATAATTGTTGTATTGCTGATATGAATAAGAATTTATAGATATGAAAGTGCAATTTCTGGGCAACTAGAGCTCCATATTCTCAAATTGTTCTCGCCTCAACCTGATTATTGTGGGGCTGAGGTGGTGTGGACTCTCATGCACTTCCTACGGCCAAATCCTACATCTGCCCCAGATCACTACAAAAATGTATATTTGAGACCACCATTGGGACCTAAAAATTTAAATTATTGATCATCTTTATATTATAGTGCCCTGGTTCTTAATTAATTTTGTTGAAGGGCCAAATTATTTTTAGAGTTGATATCATGGGCATTATCAATATAATTAGGCCTACCTACTGTACATATTTTTGTAAATTTTCACTAATCTGTATTTCTGTTCTTTTTATGGGATTAATCTGCTATTTTTCAATTTTTCTCCTAGTGTCGGTCGCAAGTTATTTTTTAACTTTAATTGACGCTTTATCTCTGAGTCGCAAACAAATAGTTATACCTTATGGTCTAAGGTTAAACACCGAGACACTGTGCCTGAAGCCCTTGTTGGCCGCAAAGAACTTTAACGGATAAAATCCCATTCTATTTTCAATTGTTCTGCAGTAAAATATTAGGACACTGCATTCATTATAATTATTGCAACGATACAAATGATTTAATATTTTGCCAAAAGAAGTAAACACTTGCTGTGAGCCGACATTTTTCAATAGCATGATGAATGGTTATGTGCCTCAAATAGTTGTATACCATGCCTGTCCAGCATTTCCAAGCTCATGCTCACTGTGTTTCCTTAGATATTTTAGAGACATTCTTTATACGTAACTGTGCATGCGCATTGGTTAGTTCGGAATTCTCATTCATTCGTAGTAAAAGCTACTGCTTACCTACATTTTCTAAATGACTGTTTCCTCTTATTTGTAACCGCCTAAAGGCATGAAAACTAATCCATAGACTTGTTTGATGAGACATTACAGGTTTTAAAGCCCTGGTTTGGTGTATGAAGGATCCATACTATTAAGTTGAACAAACTGTACTGTATATGAGTTTTAACAAAAATTACTGTGTTTTAAAGCCCTGGTATTTGGTGCATGAAGATCTATACCATTAAGTTGAACAAACTGTATATGAATTTTAACAAAAATTCTGTGTTTTTGTTGTGATTTGTTTTGTAACTTCAGTTTTGGGTTAAGAACTCCAACAGGAATAGTCCACCAGAGAGTCATTATAGTTACTGGTCCTACCCAATTGACTGCGCCAAAAGAAAGTTAGAGCTGTCAAAGTATGGACGCCCGAGCAGCTAACCATATTTGGCATAGGCCTAAACATGGAGGTCCTGAATCAAGGTCAATATGGTAGAAGAAAAATATCTAGTTTTACTTTGTGAGAAAAAAGCCCTAATTTAGGAAGCAATAGTTTGCATATAGTGTAGTTTACTTCCTCCATGATTTCACTTTAGACAAAGAAAAGAAGACTATGAATAGGTATATTAGCAGTCACTGAAAATTCCCCCGATGCAAAAATATGACAATTCATATATACACTACCATAGTGTTATAAATTAGTTAACTTTATGCTGGTACTGTCTATTATTTTTTTAATCTCAATGCCAAGAGACCCTGTAAAATATCTTGGGTTGCGACCCATAGTTTGAATACTAGGACCTTAAGAACACCAAAATGAATGGAAATTTAAATGGAATTTTTACAAGTCCATTAAAATGCGGCCTTAAAATGCTACTTTGTCGGAGCCTGTGGACCCTAAGAAGCCTAAGGCTCACCCCCCCCACCCACCTTAATCAGAATTTCTGTTTATGGGCCAGTGGTGGTGCCAGTGCTGTGCGGAGACAAGTCCCCGGTCAGTGAGAGCTCTCGTTAGGTCCATAAAATATAACTAATTGCTTGCAACTTGGAGATTATCTTCGGCAAGTCAGGTGAAATCTAAAAATAATTAGGCTCATAAATTACCCTACTGACACGGGTAAAAGCCCCCCCCCCCTTCAACACACAAAATGATGTCAAGGAACCAAAAATAGAGATCGTCAAAAATAGCACATAATTTGCAGGAATTTTAAAGTTTTATGAAACAAGGAAGTAGTATTAAAACGTATTGTGTGTGTTAAAAGCCGACATAAAGTAGTAGTAGTAGTGGTAGACATAGAGCCAGACAAGATTAGATACTGAATTTCAAGTGAGCGGTTAACACATTTAACGGAAGAAACAACAAGGGAGCGCTAGCAGCAATGGCATAATGAAGGGGGCTGGGGGTCCTATTAAAACATCTAATTTGTTTTTATGAGATGTAGAGGTAAAAAAAAATTGTTTTCTCTTATAGGAGCAAGAAGAGGAGAATAAATTACACATTCAAGAAATACAAAACATGCAGTTGAAATTGCATAGCCAATCCGACATGGCGTTTACCAAGTTTAAGCAGACAGCCATGGTAAGAAATATCGCTGTTGCTTCTTAATTTATACCTCAGGATCTGTTTCAATAGTGGATCCTGGGCCAGGGAGGGAGATTCACAGGGGAAGGATATACCACCTCAACCCCACTATGGTTGTGGCTGAGGT